ACAAAGTGCTATACCAAAAAAAGACTTTTACAAAGTAAACATACGTACGTAGTAACAAAAAAAAGGTATATGCATCAATGCATAAAGAAAAGATGAGAGTTCTTTGTCTCAAATAGGCGAAACGTTAATTTCTCTTAAGAATCAGCATGCAGCAGCAAAGAGTAGAAGCTAAGAATAATCATTTTACACTTATTTAATTCATCGTAAAGACGTAACTAAACATACCAATAATCAATTTTCCACTAAACAAATAATTGGTGAGTGCGAACTAAACTAGTGTGGTTTTTAATCTAACGGGGCATCATATTTCGAGATTAGTTTTCATCACAAAAACACTACAAAACGTAATGTTGAATTCTCAAATTTAATAATACATCTATCGTTTAGTATTTCAAATCAAGTATACATAAGGAGAACTCCAACAAATTAAATATTAATAGTGGATAGATTTCAAAAAGGTAATATAGATGGATCATTTCACCAATTTGGTTATCTCTCACCTTTCTTGATACATGCATTAGATCTAAACCAACTTAAATAAATGCAAAATCGTGGTATGTCTTTTTCAACTTGAATGAATTAAGGTTCAAAAAAAAAACTTGAAAATTTTTCAATATCAATTTTTATATTTTGAAATTTGCCGTTTCTTGGTTTCTATAGTCCAACGAATAAAATAGTCAAATTAATTATGGTATAATTTCACAAACATGAAATCCACATTTCACCAACTTAGGTGTAATTGCTTTTATTTAGCTAGTACTTGTAACCACAAAAACTTAAAACCTCCCTTTTGTGGTGCATTGCTCTTCTATAAGTACTAGTGTTTGTTCATTGTTTTGAATTACTCCAAAAATCAAAGATGTACAAAGCAAGTCCTAATAGAAAAGTAATCTTGGAGAAGAGCAAGAGTGTAAGAGAGAAGGAGACTAAGTTGAACTCAAATTTCTTTGCGAAACACTTGAAGAGGATCTATCCGATCGCGCTTCAACGAAGTACTTCTTCT